ATTTATCTCAACAGCAATTTGGGCACTTCAGCTCGAACAATAGCTTGCATTTTTTGTTAGACGTCTCTTACTACCTCCATGATCTTTTGTTGCAGGCGGTATCAGAAAGTTTAGTGGGTTATTTGAGATGGAACAATATCTCGAGCAAAATCAATCTACAGGAATCAATTATAGCTGTAAACAAGAGATAGAAACCTTCACCATGGATAGAAAATAAGAAAAGATAACAATTACCAAGTTCAGAATCCATAAAAAATTCAAACCAAAAATATGCGACCAGTAAATGAATTGTTCTTAAGGACAAACTAATAAGGAAACTTAACAAGATTTCTGTTTATTGCGTACATTTCACAATCAATCCAAACACTATTTGGAAAGTGCATCTGCCTCATTGCTCAAAGTTTCTCCTAAGGAAGCATCAAATCATTGGAATTTTGACTCTTTTTCTTATATTAATTAATAATTAGTTAATATATAAGGGTAGGTAAGTAAGGAGCTGAAAACTCCTTCGGAGGGCCCCTCATTCTCAATGGAAGCTAATGTAGCTAATTTCAAAACTCAGCTAGATAGTCCCTCTACCATAAATTGTCATAAAAGTCAATCATCTTGAAAACCATTCTACTCTATACGGCCTTTCAAGATGTGTAGGGCTATAGCAAGCGAACTTATGAGTTATGACATTGAATGTCGTCATACATCTAGGGCATAAAGGGCGAGTTATATATCAAGAAGGCAGACACATTTCAACGTGCAGTCATCTTAAAAAACAATAATCAAACCTCATACTGTGTTCAAGTGTCGAGGGGTTCCGGAAGTGGGCCGAGAGAATCAAAAGGAATTGTGCAAGCAATCTAAAAATATCATTATTGGACTTGGAATCAAACAACATGGTACATACAACTGACGAATACTAACCAATAATGTGCAGTAAAATTACTTAATCATCTAAAAATTATGGAAGATGATGATTGAGCACAAATTGAAGTGTAATTCAAGCATCATTGATCCTCAACACATTAAAGCAAGAAAGCACTGAAATGGACACTCCGAGATGTAATTTTTCAAAAAAGTAGTAACATAACACATCTTCAACACGCTAAGTAAAATAATCTCCTTTTTTAAAAAAAAATTTATATTGTAAGTAATTTTATTTTTGGCGTGTGTGTCGAAAATGTGTCAGTGACAAAACCAACTCCAGGAAAACAAAATATAATTTGGACACATCACCTGGAGTACAGGTGTTTGTCGGTATCCGGCACAATATATCTCTCAGCGTGTCAACAATGTGTCGACGACATGTCCAACTGTACAAAACTAATTGGACACGCTCTGAAGATGTCGGTGCATCCTAGTATGTAGGCTTGCATCGAATTGCCAAAAGTCCTCGCACTTTAACTTTAGCAAGGATAAACTTAAAAGTCAAATCCATGATGACTTTCCTTGTTGAATGTTATTCGCTAATGAATGATAATAGGAGAGGTTATACTAAGTTGGAACTTTGGAGTTTGGTTTGGAGGAGTACTTTGGAATCTAAAGGTATTATTACATCAAGAACTTAGACAGAGTACATAGAATGTGATAGTAGATTCATTACCACCGAAAATCCTGTTTCCCAAAAGATTGATTAGTTCGAATATATATTTACAACTATTAACGAGGTAGAACTTGAAGTGTATGGTAATGCATAACGAAGAAATTCTATGGGAACTTTATGTGTTAATATCCTAATAAGGTCAAGAGACAAGTTATGCATATAGTTATTTGTCATTAGGTCATGCTATTCAGTGTTAAGCTGTTAAGCGATGCTATCTCTATATGATGAACATAATGAAGATGAGAATGTTAACGTGGTTGTGATCCGTAATATAGAATAAATAAGGTGAAATATAAGAATATACATATCAACTATTAACAAGTAAACATTAGGCAATACTGTTCATTTCGCTTTCAAACCATCAAAGATCTATGGATAATACACCTATATAATTTTACATGTAAAAGTGCATCCACACATATAAAATATAGGCAATAACTTCTCTCTACTCTCCATTAGTGTACCACGAGTTTGGACAAAGAAGTTGGTACAGCAGTCATATTCCTTTGTTAGTTGGACTTCATATTAATTCATTGAGGATACATTTTGTCTGCTCCACGCATATAGGTTTGTTAGTGTAGAAATGCGAGACAAGGCATCAACTTTTTCGTTTTATTATCCAAATTGCACCAATGACAAAACCCTTGCTTCTTATTTCCCTTGGATTAGCTAAAGATAGACAAATGAGCCAAAATCATATTTCGAATAAAAAATAGTAAATAGTACTAATAAAAAATCAACCACCTAAGTAACAAAAACAGAACAATCTGTGAATCAATAAAGATTATCCTACAAATCCAAATTTCTTGTATATAAAAAATAAGCCCATCGATTTACATTATTCCTGATTCAGCAAAAGCCACCTAATAATTGATCAAATAATCTACGAAAATTCAGTAATTCACCTCAAATCCCAACACGACACTTCTTTGGCCCACTGGTTAATGTTCCCGATCTTCCATTACTCGGAAATCCAACAGCCAAATCACCGCAAAACACCTTCAGCAACCTGTTTCTCGTCGTCCATGCCTTTGCCTGGAGCCTAACCCTTGCAAGCATCCTCAAGTTGAACCCCACAATCCCATTCGCATTCCTCTCATTATTTATCCCATCCACTGCCCACTTATCCACGAAACTCCCAGCGGCAGCGAAATTGGCGTTTAATGACGTCTCGTTTTTGGTATCCTGGAAAAAGGGTGGAACAGTAGTATCCGAGAGGGTCTGTGATTTGTAAAAAATCAAGGCTTCGATATTATCGTAATCAACTGTCATTTTCTTGTTCGGGTTCCGAGCAGTAAGCCGGGCTTCCGAGGTAAATGAAACAAGAGAACCGTTGTTAATAGTAAAATTGGAGAACGAAAATGAGTCGACCCGAAACTCAGGAAGCTGGGGGCGGAGGACAATCCAGACAATGAAGGTGATTGTACCGAAGATGACGACGACTCCTATAATGAACGCAAAGATGCGGCGGAGAAAGGTGGCGCGTCGGACCAAGTCAGGATCAGCTTGGTAACTTTGTTGGGAGTATGGGTAGTTTTGGTAACTGGTGTAGGAATTGGGGGCGACGTAGGGATAGGCGGTGCCGGCAGGCGGCGGATTAGCGGAGTAACCATTGGGATTGACGGGATAGCCCGTGACGGGTCTATTGGGGTCTTCCATAAGCACAAATTACCTCAACATCTGGGGGAATATTATGAGATCGGAACAACTTACCCAATTTTACTACTGTAATTTGTGTTGTGCTTGGACAGCAGAATCAAATTGTGAGAAGAGAAACGAGATTGAGATCGTCGATCCAATATATATTATTCACGGAGTGTCCTTCTAAAATTTATGTCTCCTTTTAATAGATGAATTTCATCAAAATTTTAATGAATTTCTTTAAGATTTTAGGTTTCCTTAATAACTCGTTAATTTATAAGAATTTTATTAACAAATGGATTTAAAAGGATTTTGATAGATTTAAAGTTTAAAAATACATATAAAAAAAACACTTTAAAAAAATTACAATATTTAAGGAAATTTTTAAGAATTTTGTAGAAATCTATTCAAATTCTGAAAATTCATTAGAATTTATAATTTATCAAAATCCATCAACATGTCCTTTGAGATACCCTCATAAATTATAATAAATATGGATAAAAAAATTGATAGAAGTTATGAATCACAATGAAATACTTAATTGACAATGAATTTGAAAGGAAAAAAAAACGAATTTTAAGAAATGGGTCAAACATACACTTACTAATTATTCAATGCTGGTTCGAAAATTGATTAACAAGAGATGAATATTAACGTTAAAATGTTGAATTTTGGATCAAATCAATAATTGTCTGATTTTCAAGTGAAAGGATCAAAAATGAAGTGGGATGAGTAATTCGTCAAGACTCGAATCAATTACAAGTGAATGTATCAAGGATAAAGTGGAAGGAACTACTTGTCAAGTTTTTCGGTTCGCGTTCATGTACGAGTTAATGGTTTAGGGGGTTAAGTGGACGATTTGCTCGTGACTCTCTAGGAGCAGCTCGCTCAAGTTCGTTGTGAGCTCATCGGCTCGCATGTGAGCCAGCTTGTCATAATGAGTGAAAATTAGTAAAAAATAAATAAAATTGTCGAGTTGCGAGTGGCTCTCGAGCCGAGCTACTTCAATAAAGCAAGTAGGCTCATGTAGTGGGATTCCAGCTATGCAATGTTCAACTCTCAAGTTGATCCAAATGGATCGTCCTCTTGCAAGTGCGGGATTTTTTTGTTTACAAGGCAAGAGTTGATCAATGGATGATCGAGGCAATGTTAGCAAGGTAGAGAAGTAATGAGAATGGAGCAAATTATAGGGACAATTGATGCAAGATTCTAGAGGGTGGAAATTCATGTCAATCCTTCAAATTCAATTTAGGAACAATACAACCATATCTTGATTTATTGAATCGAATGGATGGAGGTATACTTTACAAAGCATCCAAAGGCAAATTCACCGACAAATTTCAATTCAAACTTTACTCCCAATAAAATTGGGTTGACTACATGAATTTTTCTTCTCTATTACAATTTGTATCCCAAACCAACATATCGTAGACTATATAACTTCCAAGAATTTACAAAAATATTTGTTCCACCAGTTCAAGCTACGTCATACTGAACATAGAGCTTCTAGTCAAACAGTGATTTAGCATTTCTAACCAACTGCATGATATTTCAAGATTGATTACTTCAAAAACCAGACAGCCAACAATGATTTCCATAGACCTAGCAGTCAGGGTGGTAAATGTTTCCATCAATTTCTCAGATCTCAAGACGAGGAAACTCATAACATGGAGTCGAAGAAATAAGATAAGAAAAGAACAGAGTGAACTGGTAACAGAACAAACTACACCGTAAACGAAGATTAAAAACAATGAATTAAACACGATAAGTAAACGAAAGAAATGACAGGGAACTGACTATTTTAAAAGATAGTTATTTAGTCATGCAGAATCTGTGAACTGATGTTATGAGACAAATTCATTAATCAGAGTCGATGAACAGCAAAAAAAGGATGTGCATAAAATACCCAAAGAAGAATGGCATCCATACCAGATTACAGCAATTACTTCTGTTGCAAATGAACAATGTTCACGTAAACTTCCATCAGCTATCTTTTAAAGGACAAGAAACCACTGTTAAAAATCTCCAATTCAGAGCATATGTGAGTGTGCTTCTTATTGATCTTGTCCAATATCCATGGTCTAAGCAATGGATTTCACATAAACATGCACTTAAAATTAGAAGACAAGCTACACAAGGCTGTGTGGTTATCCACCAATACATGAAGGGATTGGAACCTTTATGAAATGTCTAAAACGATGGACTAGTCAGTACCAGATCACATTAAAGAAGAAAAAGAAAGCTAAAATTTGGTCCAAAGTACTTTCCTTTCATGTCCAGCAACCAAACATGCACTTAAAATGTTTAAATTTAGAGCCACCGCTTGATAGGTAAAGTAGAAATAGGATCCTTACAGTCGATCCAAATAGAAGTAAGTGATAAGATAATAGTTAAGTTTTTCCTAATATAACTACTGATTATATCTACTGTAAATCACCATCATAAAAATTGAACTCAGTAAATAGCAGACTTGCAAGTAATTCAATGAGAGTCTGAGCATGGCATAAGTTTGAGTTACTAGCTGTTGATACACTAAAAGTGCAACCCAAATCAAATAGCCCAAAGAGTGAAGTCCAATTGGGAAATCTAAGATAAAGGTCCAAACAGGATTATTGATGAATGCGGTGGAAGCCCACGAACACAGTAACATCATCGCCCAAGCTTGCAAGACGCCCAGAATCTGAACGAATAAGATACCTTCCGGTCGCCTAGAGCGATGACCCCGTTCTCGCCTAAACTTTCAAATCGCCCAGGATCTTAGCAAGCATAAAACATTATGGTTATCCAGAATAGCAGTTATTGAAGCAGTTATTGAGTGATCTTATCACATTCCATGATTCAAGGAGTTCAGTTGAAGGCAGTTGAACGACAAAGAGTAATGGCAACAGTTAGGGACGGCAGTTCCATGACAAGTTAGCCACCATAAAGAAAGTGAGTAGTTATACAACAATCAAGCAGTTTGTCACAAAGAAATCATCAAAGGAATATAAAAGGAAGAGAAGACATAGAGAAAAAGACCCCAAATCAAATACTCTCAAACAGAAAATATGTAATTTCAATTTCTTAGTTTAAACTTAAACATTTCTTTTAGTATTCGTGTGCTTGTGCCCCTTGGAGGCATTTTGTTTAGTTCCAATTGTAAATCATCGCCAATAAAACACCCATTTGTGAGATTTTATCTCAAGAGGTCTGTTCTTTACACAATAGTCTGATTCCTTTTTAATTGTTAGCGACTACCTGCGCGAAACAATTTGGCACGCCCAGTGGGACCTTGTTTGGTGTTGAAGATACAAAAGGTATAACAATATGCCTTATAAATCTGATAAGGAAGCAGCAAGTCAAGGAAGAGTCAAGTCTGTGATCGAGCGATATGAGGAGCGTCAAAGCTCTCCATGAACAGAGGGATAGAGTCAGAGCAGTCACAGTCGTTACGAACCAATGACAATGTTGAGTCCTCGAACCATGCGTGCATTGCTTGGAGAACTCACACAGGATGTCGTTGAACAGGTAAATCTACGAAATGTTCATAATATGGAAAGATTTACTCAGAATGGAAATGCACATTATGACAATATGACCAAACAACTGAATACATTAAATGAAATAATGAATAAGTTAGTAAGCCAAATTTGTTAGCCAGTTGTGCCTATTGCAAATCACTTTCAAACTAGGACAATCTTGGGATATAATTCCCCAGTCCTAAGTTCAAATCAGGGGATAGAACCACCTTTTGGTCCACCTACTTCAAACCAGGGGGATGGTGTAATACTAAATCAGAATAGTGGTAATGGTACATCTAACTTGGGGGGTAACCTAAATATAAGAGATAATATCCTAAATAATGGACAGAATACCCCACGTGTCAATGATGGAATAAGTATTCAGGCTAACGGTAACAATGACCCAAATCAAGGCAACTTTGTTGCCAACCAAGGACCAAACATCAGGTCTCAGGCAAATCAACCGATCAACCAACCTGTAGGAATTCCATATGACCTCAA